TTGAAACATCAACTCATAATGCTCTGGCTCACCTTCATTGCCGAGGAAACTAAAATTATAAGTAATCAAACAATGGATAACCGGAACAAGCGCATAAGAAGGAAAGTGGCACTTTCATGTTTGACCTCGCCTCTGAAATTCATGATTCCTCTCCGATCACAAAATGATGCTTGAACTGCTGGAGACTAAAATCGCCTTAGACCACTTTCTAAGAAAATCCAAGCAACGCAAATTATCGAAGAAAGAGTGGATATTATCAGTGATTTCATAAAGAAGTGCCTTCATTCGTCTCCCACGAAAAGAGCTCTAGATATATGATCAGTATTTCCCAACATTAGCCTTTTGGGCAACAGTTTTTATGCGTTTCTGCATATACGTGGATGCATAAATGCATATGGGCAAGAGGCTGTTTGTGTGTTCGCACTTTTTGTCGCCCACTTTCAATTCGAGAACCGGAAATGTTAGAAGATTGAAACTTCGGGAGTGTGTGCCAACCATCTGTGCAACTTCCCGTTTTAATATCATCACCCGCGCGCAACTGGGTCCCGCTTACGAACGTATTAGAAAAATACGCAAATTTTTTGGCGGGAAAGCGATCTCGGGAACCAGACAAAATAGAGAGCTGAAAGTTTGTAGGGATATTCTCTGTGCATATATCAGCTAAAGATTTCAAATTCAGCTTTAACAGACATATGTTCAAATTTCACGACAATATTTATTTCCCATAATTGTACAAGTATAGTTAAAATGAGCTTTGGCATACGCCTGAGTCGCGAGTTCCGATATGCCAAATATTCCATATAACAAAAAGCTAGGAATCTAAAACTAGACGAGGACATTTATTCCGGTGTACGACCAAAATACTACAGTTTAAAGCCCTGGAGCATGTCCAGCTCTCGCATGAACCGCAACTGAATTGTTAGTTCCAGATACCGCTGATACCCAAATAACTTGATATCCGGACCGAGCAGAAAGCAATATTTTGCTGAGTATGTTCACTGTTCACGTGCAGGTCTGTGAGTTTCCGGCTAAGTACATGTTTCCCACACGGACATCTTCAGTCCGCTATGCTATCATCATCGTCATTATCTCTTTCTCTCTCTCAGGCGAGAGAAATGCAATTTTTCGATAATGCTAGCACATCCCATACGACAACAAGTACACGATTTTTATCACCATCTACTAACGTCTACGTCCCGCATACCGATGCAAAAAATTCTGCTGGCATCTTCGTACCTCTCTATCCGAATGAAATGGTAAATTACATTTCTAAGTGAATATTCCCAAATTATGAATGATTGCAGAAGCATAAAGTAAATATCTGTTTACATCTATATCTCGCCAAAGAAACACTTCACTGCTTCCGTGTGGATATGCAAAAGACAGTAAAGCCAATGCCAGCACAAATCGTGTCAGCACAGCACTAAACATCTGCAGGAAACTACGCAAAAATATGTGATCGCACCGGCTAGTCTGGTGCGTTCCGGCCTGGGCTATTTTTGCGACATTAACTTTGAGAAATGTACAAGAATTTAATTTCCAATCAGTGCGCTAAATTTCTTTTCCTGAATCTAATGGATTTCAAAAGTGTAGAAAATTTGTCAGGCAAAACCATCCTGCTTTGAACGACACTTACAAGTGAAAAGTTTCATTGAATTTGGGCGCCCAATTTCCGCTTTTCGATTTCGTCGCCATTTTACGCTTTTTGTCAGCCAAGTGAGGCCCGACCAAGTGCACTTCAATGAAAGGTTTGAAAACGCTTGCTGTCTGCCACCGCAAATCATTCGCTGCCAGAACTGCAACATCTTTTTTCAGTGGCTTCTTTTAGAAAAGGTTTTTATCTTGGCGAGAACTAGATATTCACACCAGTCACTCGAACAGTTCTGACGATTCGTCCAGTCAATGAAATATCCAAAATCATTCAAGCGGAAGTTAAGTCCCTCATGCAGCAAAGCTTCCAGATTAAGGCAAATCTTATAAAGTATTAGTAAGCCGTTTGTAGCATCCATGTTGAGGGGTGCCAAAATAAGGGAACTGTATATAGTAAGTTGTTTTCCATCAATCGAAATGCATAAGTCACGAAATAAGGTACTCCACTAGTCGATAATTACCATCCAAGCCTTTATGAAAGCTACTTTAAAAAATACAGGAAAGAAATAAATAACGAACTTTTGACGGTGACTTTCTGCTCACCGGTTCCTGGATGTGTGAACAGATCCACCTGAACACTCACTTCTCCTACTGGTTGTTCTTGCGAAGGAAGATCTGGAAAAATATCAGCCAGGTTGATGATAATTACTTGCTGAATAAACAAACAGACAACGGTTTTTTCGTCAATTCGATTACGCATAGAAGAGAGCAGCGCACTAGTGCACGGTTCCTTTGCGTAAATTGAAAAAGAGGCGGTATAGTGCAAATTCAAATAACGTTCAAACTTTGAAAGGATGGGCAAAAGATCTGAATGAATGAAAAGATGGGTAGTGTCCACAAGACTCAACTACATACCGAAAATCTTGACCAGCATCAGTTTTTACAATTTTCGAAAAAAGTCTCGAAAAATGCTTCTGAAGACTTCGAAGAAAGTTAAGAATTTTAAAGCAAGGCATACCTTGTTGCTTTTGACTGGTAATGAATGTTTTGATAAGCTGTTCTGTTGTCTGTGTGTACAGTGAGAGCGCATATTTGAGCGACTGCAGTTCC